GTCCTGCCGAAACGCCCTCACGCGGGCAGACAGTGTATCCATCCCATCCAATCCACGCAAACACCAAGGAATTAGGAGGATTCGTGTTGAACCGGCGGGGAAGCGAGGGGAGAGGGGATATGAAATCACCATGGCGTAGAGGTTGGAGAAGCCCTTGACGAGGGTGGGGAACTTGGTGAAGCGCTGCTGGAAGGCGTCGCTGAGGTTGTGGGCGGGGTCGGTGGAGATGACGAGCACGGACTGGCGGACGGAGGCGAGGAGGATGGAGACGATGGAGCTGCAGGTGGTCTTGCCGACGCCGCCCTTGCCGCCGACGAAGACCCACTTGAGGGTGTCCTGCTCCAGGAGGTTCCGCACCGTCGGGTCCGGCGCGTCGCCGGCCTGCACCACCGCCGTGGTCGACATCGTCGGGCGCTCCTCCGATTACGGGGGCCGGGCGCGCGGGAGTTGGGGTCGGGTCGAGGCGAGCCGAGGGAGATCTGGGTGGGAGGCGGGCGACGCCTTGGAGATGTGGGCGGGTGGTACACGACGCGAATCGCCTAGGTGGAAATCTCTTTCCCCTTCTGGACGTTTTCGTACTGGAAGCATTTTCTTTTCCCTCTCCGAAGGAATCTTTATGTCATCTCCAACGCCGATCCTCAAGCCATCCGCGTATCTTTGGACCTCCCGGTTTAATAAATCATGAAAGCGTGAAAATCATTTAACACAGGTCTGTGTCGATCTGCCGAGCTGTGCGGTATGGACGTGTTTTCTTTTGTTAATTGGATACAAAGTGAAGGGTACTACAGGAGTCCAGGTAACAGACACGTAGGACTCTGACACCCCGGCTCATTGCAACTTCTGATTTACGTTGAATTTTCTCGAAGAGGAGAGGATGAACCGGTACGTTAGATAAGTATTTTCCTTAATTAAGAACCAAGATTATCAATCCAGTAGGAGAACCACACAAACCTGCTTAGCAGCATCTGCACACACAAAAGCAAATACTTGCACCCAACACAAGCAAGGGGTTGTCAATTCCCTCAGCGGTTATTTGCAAGAATCAAATCTCATAATGGTAGGCGATAAGATAAATTGCAAAACAAAATAAAATAAATAAAAATGCAGTAAGGTATTTTCATGTTTTATATATGATAAAAGAAGAGGGGCATAGTTTTCAGTTTTTACTAGAGGTTTCTCTCTCAAGTACATAATATAGGGTGGGTAAACAAATTGTTGTTGGGCAATTGATAGAAAAACGTATAGTTATGACGATATTTAAGGCAATGATCATGTATATAGGCATCACGCTCAAGTCAAGTAGATCGACTCATGTTTGCATTTACTACTTATTACTTCACTCATCGACCGCTATCCAGCATGCATCTAGGGTTCAAAGTTAATAAAAATATAGTAACGTCTTAAGCAAGATGACATGGTGCAGACAAAGTAACCCAAGCAATATGAATAAATTCCATCTTTTTATCCTTAATAATGGCAACAATACAAATACGTGTCATGTTCCTTTCTGTCATCGGGATTGAGCACCACAAGATTGAACCCATCACAAAGCATCTCTCCCATTGCAAGATAAATTAATCTAGTTGGCCAAACTAAACGGATAGATCGGAGAGAAATACAATGTATAATTATCATACATAAAAGAATTCAGAAAAGACTTAATTAATATTCGTGAATAATCTAATCATAAACCCACAAATTTATTGGATCCCAACAAAACACACCGCAAAAAAAGATTACATCGGAAAGAACTCCAAGAACATGGAGGAGAACATTGCATTGAAGATCAAAGAAAAAGAACAAGCCATCTAGGTACTAGCTATGGACCCGTAGGTCTGTGGTGAACTACTCACGCATCATCGAAAAGGCTGAGGGAAGATGTAGAAGCCCTCCATGATCGATTTCCCCTCGGGCAGAGTACCGGAAAAGGCCTCCAGACAGGATCGTGAAATAACAGAATTTTATGGCGATGGAAAAAGTGTTTGGGGTAGCTCTCTATTGTTGTTCCAATTTTAGAGAATTTATAGAGCTGGAATTAGGTTAGACAGAGCCACAAGGGGCCCACAAGGCATCAGGGCGCGCCTTGTTGCCTTGCCGTCTCCTCGCTTCTTGTCTAGTCTCCTCCCGAAGCTTCTAGGGTCTCTTTTATTCAAAAAAATCGTTAAAATGATTGGTAGCGTTTGGACACTGTTTGGTACTCATTTTCTGGAAAAAAAATAAACAGAAAACAACAACCGACACTTGGCACTAGGTTAATCGATTAGTCCCAGAAAATGATATAAAATACTACAAAAAATTATATAAAACATCCCAAATTGATACTATAATAGCATGGAACAATCAAAAATTATAAATACATGGGAGATGTATCACTCACTGATACGTCTCCAACGTATCTATAATTTTTTTATTGTTCCATGATGTTTTATTATCAATATTTGATGTTTTATAATCATTTTATAGTTATTTTATATCATTTTTTGGTACTAACCTATTGACATAGTGCCCAGTGTCAGTTCCTGTTTTTCCATGTTTTTTACATTACAGGAAATCAATGCCAAACGGAGTCCAAATGGCACGAAACTTTACGATGATTTTTTATGGGCCAGAAGAAAGAAAATGGACCCTGGTTGCACCTGGGGGGTGCCCCAAGGGTGGCACAACCCACCAGGGCGCGCCAGGGGGCCCAGGCGCGCCCTGGTGGGTTGTGCCCACCTCGGGTGCCCCCCGGACCGCCTCTTTGCTCTATAAATACCCAAATATTCCAGAAATCCTAGAACATGCATCGAAATATTCATCCACCCGCCGCAGAGTCTAGAACCACCAGATCCAATCTAGACACCATCACGGAGGGGTTCACCACTTCCATTGGTGCCTCTTCGATGATGCGTGAGTAGTTCTTTGTAGACCTTCGGGTCCGTAGTTAGTATCTAGATGGCTTAATCTCTCTCTCTCTCTCTCTTGATTCTCAATACAATGGTCTCTTGGAGATCCATATGATGTAACTCTTTTACGGTGTGTTTGTTGGGATCGATAAATTTTGAGTTTATGATCAGATCTATGTTTTTATATCCATGAAAGTTATTTGAGTTTCTTTGATCTCTTATATGCATGATCTCTTATAGCCTCGTATTTCTTCTCTGATATTTGGGTTTTGATTGGCCAACTTTATCTATTTATCTTGCAATGGGAAGAGGTGCCCGATAGTGGGTTCGATCTTACGGTGCTTGATCCCAGTGACAGAAGGGGAACCGACACGTATGTATCGTTGCTACTAAGGATAAAAAGATGAGACCTATATCTACCGCCATATAGATAAACGGATCTTGTCTACATCATGTCATCGTTCTTATTGCATTACTCCATTTTTCCATGAACTTAATACACTAGATGTATGCTGGATAGCGATCGATGTGTGGAGTAATAGTAGTAGATGTAGGCAGGAATCGGTCTACTAATCTCGGATGTGATGCCTATGTAATGATCATTGCCTGGATATCGTCATGAGTATTTAAGATTCTATCAATTTCCCAACAGTAATTTGTTTACCCACCGTTTGCTATTTTTCTCAAGAGAAGCCACTAGTGAAACCTACGGCCCCCGGGTCTTATTACTCATATACTTGCCTTTGCGATCTACTTTTTCTTTCTTTTATTTTCAGATCTATTAAACCAAAAATACAAAAATACCTTGCTGCATTTTATTTATTTTTGATCTATTATTTCAATCTATTACAATTTATCTCATGTCCGCTTGCCAATTTTTGGCACCGTTACCCGAAAGGGATTGACAACCCCTTTAACTCGTTGGGTTGCGAGGTGTTGTTATTTGTGTGCAGGTGCTGTTTACGTTGTGTTGCTTGGTTCTCCTACTGGTTTGATACCTTGGTTTCATAACTGGGGTAAATACTCTATCGTCGTTGTACTACATCATCCCTCCCTCTCCGGGGAAATACCGACGTAGTTCTAGCTGCCATCAAGGAGAATTTCTGGCACCGTTGCCGGGAAGGATCTTCAACATAACCAGGTTCCTAATCACAATCTCATCTCCTCGCAATTTACATTATTTGTCATTTTCCTCTCGTTTTCCTTTCCCCCACTTCCAAAAAAATTACCATTTTATTCGCCTATCTTTTTCCGTTCACCGTTTTCTCGTTGGATCTTTCCTTTGCTTGCAATCATGAGTGATTTCGGAATGACACCAATAGATAATGGCCTGACTCCTAAGATTGGACGTACAGGCAATCTGGATGCTAAAACTTTTATCTTGGGGCAAGGGAACGTTATGGGAAAAGAGTGTATCCAAGAATTTTTCAATTGTGTTGGAAATCTAAGTCTGGATGATGCTCCTATACTTAAAACTACTAGATCTTATGCGGATGCTATTTCAGCACTAGTAACAACATCTCTTTTGCAATCTATGGTAGCATTAACAGTATTTAAGAAGGGTCTACCAAATATAATGGGACAAAAGTTATCTTGTGGGGAACCAAGAACAAGAAAATCAGCAGGATATTTAGTTTTCCCACACAAGACTTAAACATCTCTAACAATTCTCATTGGTGAAATAGTATCTCTATTGGCAAGTTTAATTGTGACATCAATATCTTCCATCTCAGCAGGTGCAATATCATGCATAACTTCTTTGTATAAGGAATAATGCATTGCACTAGCACTAGCACCCATATCACATAAGCCATGATAACAATGATCTCCTATTTTAACAGAAATAACAAGCATGCCTACCACAGGTCTAGGTTTATCTTTATCACGGGGTTTAGCAATTCTAGCAGTTTCATCACAGAAATAAATAACATGCCCATCTATTAGGTTCGATTTTAACTTGCTCAGGAGGTGTATATGTTTTAATATTGCTTTTACGAACCATAGTTGAAGCTTTAGCATGATCCTTTATCCTAACAGGGAAAGGTGGTTTCTCAACATAAGAAGTAGGAATAATAGGATCATTATAAGTGATAGTCGTTTCTTCAACTTTAATAGGTGCAACTACTTTTACTTCTATGGTAGGATGATATTTAAACCACTTCTCCTTGGGGAGATCAACATAGGCAGCAAAAGATTCACAGAAAGAAGCTACTATCTCAGAGTCAAGTCCATATTTGGTGCTAAATTTACGAAAAATATCGGTATCCATAAAAGATTTAACACAATCAAAACTAGGTGTCATACCTGACTCCTTACCATTGTCGAGGTCCCAATCTTCAGAGTTGCGTTTAATTCTTTCTAATAAATCCCATTTGAATTCAATAGTCTTCATCATAAAAGAGCCAGCACAAGAAGTATCAAGCATGGTGCGATTGTTACCAGAAAGCCGAGCATAAAAATTTTGAATAATCATTTCTCTTGAGAGATCATGATTGGGGCATGAATATAACATTGATTTAA